CTAAACTTCCCAAAATAAAATATTTAGGTGGCGACTCTGTATCTGGCAAAGCAGTCCATGTTTGGCACTTCTTTCACAAATCTGTTTTCTCAAAACGGTTTGCCGGATTTGGACTCTTTGGTTCAGATTGAGAACCGTGACAATTTGAGTCCTGAACTGTAGTGAGCCCAAAACGAACGGAACGGGGGACTCATCTCTTCCGGGACGTTCGGGGACGTCTACAGTGCTGAAATTGTTCTATAATGTTGGAATGTGTGTTGAAATTGTTTAAGACCAAGTAAGTTTTGTACCAAAATTGTTGTTCTTAATCTGGAGACAGAATTTTGGGCAGAGGAAGGGCTGGCCAGCTAGGTCTCACCCCCAAAATGTTTAGGAAGTCTCAAATTTTGAGAGTAATTTTGGACAAATTCTGGCTCTGCCCCTAGACACTATCTTTTGGATGGGAGTAATTTTACAAAAAGCTTTAAATTTTGTGCCTAATTCCACAAAAACCCATGATTTTTTTCTTTTCTTTTCATGAGAGGTGATTTGGGATATGGGGACATGAGAGATTCAAATAAAAGATCTGATCTCAATGACATAGCGCCCACTAAATAGTTACCTTGGCATTGCACTCAGCTCTTCTTAATCTGGCTTTCCTATAAGAGGGGCGCACATTAAGGGCAGCAGTGCAGTCCTCAATTGCTTTCTCGAATTGACCGAGTTTAGACCTACAAGTGGCTCGGTTGCACAACAGGACCGAGTTGTAGGGGTCATGGTCAAGCCCCTCCCCATATGCAACACAAGCCTCTGAGTATCTTTGTAACCTGAAGAGCTCGTTTCCCTTTGATCGAGCCCCTGCTGTTGCTCGTGTCCTCCTAACAACCATGTTCACTTCTTTGTTATTTGAATCAAGTTGAGCTGCTTGTTGTGCCACTGTCACAGCATCGTCGAATCTGTGAAAATTCAACATACCAATATAAAAAAACCGTCACTTGCTTATCAATTCAAACAATCAAACACCAAAACAGGGCAGCAACAGAGCAATCAAACAGGGCAGCCTCCTATTGATTTGAGATTGTAGACCAGATCATTAACTGAGAATGCCAGATTTAGCATCTGGTACTTCGCTCTACAGTAATTATGGAAAAACATAACAATTTACATTGCTAAAAACACTAACTTGTTTTCAAATTATGTTGCGTACAACGAACAAGAAACATTGTAATCGTGTTTCATATATATATATATATATTTGATTTTTTGGGAGTCGCTATTCCCACTCCACAACTCCAAATACGCTTCGTTCTTTGTTCTTATTATACGTAGTTACTATTTCCACTCCACTTTGCTTCAAATAGTATTTAGAGCAAAGTGGAGTTGGAATAGAGACTCCATTTTTTCTTCTTAAAAATTTTATACTATATAGAACACTAACCTGCCGGCAACCATGTCAACTTGAGCCCGTATCAGCAATAGACCAGCATTAGCAATAGGACCAAAGAATTTCGTGCAATCCTCCGTGTCAAACTTTGGTCCCTTTGTCAATGCTTCATTGGCGTCTTGGTGCCGTTGGAGCTTCAACAAGGCCTCAGCTTGCAAAGCAAAAATCTTTTTCAATAACAACCAAAACATACGCTCATGTTAACTATAATTGTTGCTCCAAGTCTTAATACAACATCAACATCAACATCCTAAGAAGAATGAGATTAGATTGTAATAAATAAAGTCAAGGGCTAAGTCACCTGTGGTGCAGAATCAGCGCCCCCCGCTGATGTGGCAAGCCCAATTTGTTTGAGTAGTGTGTTCCAATCTCGTTGTTTCTTTGCTTCTGTACACTTACTTAGATGAACTTGGAGATTTTTAGCTTTGGTGATGACATTAGGTTCAGATTCAGAACCAGCTAGTTTAGAATGATACAATGCCTTTTCTGCTTCTCCTAATCTGTGTGAAGACAAATATATAACCACATTACTGATCAAAGGAATTTGTGTTACAGAGGCAAAATTGTTTATTGATGGCTATATAATACCTACCTGAGATATAGAGTTGCCAAACGATTATGAGCTCTTTGATAATGTGGTTCGATCCGAATGGCTTCTCTACACTCAAAAACTGCCTCAAGAAGCCTACCTAAGGCTGTCAGTGTTGCACTTTTGTTACTCCTATATGAAGCCTTATTTGGGTCAATAGATATAGCAGCATCATAAAGTGCCAGAGCCTCTGCAAACCTTTCATTATTGTAATCTTCATTCCCCATTATATTCAATTGCTCCGGATCCATCTTAGTCGACAGAGCCCTGCATAGGGAACTTGGTTGTTCACTCTCTTCATTGTGTTTCTTCACTACATTCCCCATTATAGAATTTGGGTACTTCCCATTCGGCATTGAGGACTCCTTGTTTGTTGTTTTGGGTAGGTAATTAAGAACATCATTGGAATTTGAATAACCACCGCTACCGCCACCAGGTTGTCGCAAGTTACCCAAATGGCCAAACAACATTACATTGCCTGACGAAGCTCGTACAAAAGTACTTGCTCCCTTGGATCGCTGGTGATCAGTTATCATGCTTTCGAGCTCGCCAGAGATGCCAGTGGTACCCTGCGGTACCTTTCTCCCTTGGACATAACCTTGGGCAGCTGCAGTTTTTGTTGTACTTGTTTCATTAGTAGTTTTTATACCACCTTGTCTGGGATGATGATATGACGGTGGGACCCTACGATGGTTTGGCCCGGGCCTGGCAATGACCCTGTCAACTTGTTTCAGTGATGGCTCTGATGAAACATTAGATAAGTTACAGAAGGAGGTGTCATCCAAGCCACCACGCCGCCTCCTGGCGTTGGGTGTGCTCGGTACTCTAATGATACTATTTGTGTTGCGTGTCGGAATTGAACCAGTAGAGGTTGTCCTTCTGAGACGTCCAAAAACTGCATTGAATATGCCACATCCTGATTTCCTGTCCTCATAGGTGCCCATATCTCTCATTTCTTCTTCTAAGTCTTTGTCTCAATTCTTTGTGGGGAAGTGGAGGAGATTTATAATGGAAAAGAATGAAACATTTTGATAAAGAGAATGAAAGACATGTAGCAAATCAATTAATGTCATGGGGAATTTTCCTGGAATGTCTCAAGAAGAAAAAAAAAATGTACAAAGAAATTTGGACTTAATCCATGTCACCACAAATGTAGAGGGCCAATGAATTGAAAAGATGAAGACAAAAGAAAAATAGGATATATATATATATATATATATGGAGAGCTAGATTGGTGTTGTGCGGGTTTGCAACAAACATGCCTATACCCTGGAGATGTGTTCATCTGATTTCATAGCCTATTGTCAAAGAAACAATCTCTTTTTTTAACCCTTTTGTTTTCTCTCTGTTTGTTTGTGATCACATGAATTGATAATGCAGAGAGATAGATGTAAAGAAAATTTGCAGGCAAAGGAAAAAAAAAAAAAAAAAAAGTAATAATTTAGGGGACGTTTTATTATAATGAAATTTGGCTTCAAATTTTCTTTCTTTTTCCTAATTTTCTTAATCTTGTTTTTTTTAAGTAGGTGCTAATAGCAGGTACACCGCGAGACCCGGTCATGGAAGAAATGAGGGTCACTAGAATTTTAGAGAGTGAGATAGAGATAGAGAGAGAGAGAGAGAGACTTGTAGTGTAGGCTTTTGTCATGCTTTGATTCCACGTGAAAATCAACACCCTTGACTGCAAGTGGGTAATCCCAAAGTACAAAAAAGCAATCAGAGATTCATTTTGAGATTAATTATAAGAAAATTGGGTGGTAGCTCGAAAATTTAAGGGTCGAATGGCCTGAAATTTGAAAAGGGAGAGAAGAGAGGGAGAGAGGAGGACGTCGTCGCCTCGCCGCTCGTCGCCTGTGCCGATGCCTTCGCCTCGCCGTCTGTGCCTCCGCCGCGAGGAGCTCGTCCAGTCCTTTAGCCTCGCCGCAGCCCCGCCTCCTCCTCTAGCCGATTTTTATGGCCCCCTCCCCTCCCTCCTTCCTCCTCCTCCCAATCTTCTTCTCCACCCTTCTTCTTCTTCTCCCCCCCTCCCTTCTTCTTCTTCTTCTCCTTTCTTCCCCTCCTCCTCTGATTTTCTACTTCTGATAGGAAGACGAAGACCCAAAAAAAAAAAAGAGGCAAAACGATGTCATTTTGCTTTTTCGACCCATTCGACCCACGGATTTTCGAGCTACCAACCGGGGTTGTAATTATAAATCCGAACCTTCTAAATTCAATTCATCTTAATTTATACACATAATTTGCACTTACTGTGGATATACACATTTGCAATGGGCCTTCATCATCGTTATAATAATAATGAAAAGAGGAATACCCATTCAGTAAGTTTAAAACACTGCCAATAGCGTGGGATGACAGTAAAGGAAGAAACAGGAACAAAGGAGTACTTATAGGAATGTACGTGGAAAGAAATTTCATAATTAAATGGCACTTGGATGTATTAATCTAACAAGAGGTTTACGTTTCAAGCCTGGATGGGATGGAAACAAGAATTTTAGGGCTTGTTTTATTGGACGGATTATAGCATAAAATGGAAACAAGAAGTGCCTGAGTTAATTTACACGCACATCGACTAATTTCAGTATCCACGCAAAGTGTCTTCTCCACATAGATCGGGACCCTTAATGTGGATCAGACAAATCTCGAGCAAAACTCACGGGCATGTTCCCAAAGAATTAGTAGTACATAATAGGAGTTGAATTTGAAACCAAATGGGACTACACCCACAAGTCTCAAGCTGCACCCACTTGCTGATTAAAAAAAGAGTGCTGCTATTAGCACCTACTTTTTTTCTTTGGACCCCCCATCTTTCTTATTATTTTTAATTCCAATTTTATCCAAATATAAAATTACAATTTTACCCTCATCCCTAACTCTCTAACCCTAATTTTCAAAACCCTAACCCTAATTCCACCAGTGTCACTGTTACTATCCATCATCGTCAGCGCCGTTGTTACCACCCATCATCGTCGGCGCTGCTATTATGATCCATCATCGATACCTTCTACAATCACTAATGGGCTGATGGATCGCCGCCATAATCGATCGTAGAAATTGTGTGTGTGTGTGAGTCGCAAAGAAGAGAAGAAGACGAGAGAGACAGATCGTTGACCATCGCTATCGCAGTTTTACATCTACAAGCCATCGCGATCTACCTCGTTATCGTCGTCACCACTGGCGTAGCCCACGACCATCACGGCCCGATTTCCACTTTCAGATGTAGGGTTTTGAGGAAAGAAGAAGAAGAATAGGAAAGGATCTAGGGTTTTGATAGTAGTTAGGTTGCGATTTGGGTTGTGATCTGAAGAAGAAGAAGAAGATGAAGAAGAAAAGAAGAGAATGAGGTAGCGGGATTGGTGGTTATGGAAGCGGCAATGGAGGGGAAGATGATTTTTAGATCGCGGCGGTGTAATGGTGGTTTGCTGGAGTTGAGATAGTGGAGGTAAAGAAGAACAGGAAAAAGAAAAAGAAGGAGAAAGGTCGGAGGTGGGCTGCTGGCGGCGACGATAGTGGTGCTGAAGGTGGTGGTTAGGAGTGGAGCCTAGGGTTTGGGTGAGGGTATAGCTGGTATTAAAGTGGGGGTTGAAAGAAAAAAGGATGGGGACTCATATTGTTAGGTGGGGGCTCAAAGAATTGGGGGGGCCAAAGTAAAAAAGTAGGTGCTAATAGCAGCACTCTAAAAAAAAAAAGAAAAGATTAATTACCTAAAAGTCCTATTCACCAATACTATGGTAGCCTAGGTCCTGTTCAAGATTTTTTTGAACCAACAAGTCATATTTTGAGATATAAAGGCGTTTTTGCCCTTCTGTTCTTTGGTTTGATTCGACTAGCCAGTAAATTTGAGAATATTATCAATTTTTTTTGATTTTAAAATTGAGAACATTATCAATTTTGTACAGCATTATTCCAAAGAGTTGTTTTGCTAACTAGGTAAAAAAAAAAAAAAGCATAGAGTTTGGGATTCAACAAGGGTACAAGGATGGGCAAGCTACGTAATTATGGAGAAGTTGAGAGTTTTGAAAGTTGCTTTAAAAAGATGGAATATGACAGTGTTTGGTGATGTAGACTCAAAGTTGAAAGAACCAGAAACTGAACTACATTCTCTGGATTTACAATCTGAATTGAGGGAGTTGGATGGGGTTGGAAAAGGGAAGAAGAAATGAGGCATGGGGTGTGATTTGGAAGCTTAGGAAAAGGAAAGAGAGTGGATGTGGGTGCAAAAGTGTAGGATGGATTGGGCTCTTAAAGGTGACAGAAATACTAGATTTTTTTTTTTTCCATATTATGGCTACGAAGAGACATAATAGAAACTTGATTACTTCTCTGGAGGTTAATGGGGTAGAGGTTGAAGAACCCAGCGAGGTTAAACAAGCAGCTTGCTACCATTTCCAGAGTTTATTTATTGAACATTAGAGGTATAGGCCAAGAATTGGAGGAGAGTTTAAGAAGATTGAAGCTAATCAGGTAGTTGACATTTTGAAGAGAGAGTTTTCAGTGGAAGAAGTATGGGCTACTATTCAAGAATGTGATGGCAATAAAGCCTCGAGTCTTGATAGGTTTAATATGCTTTTTTTTTTAAAAAGGTTGGAAATTTTTGCAAGATGACATCATGAAGTTCATGAAGGAGTTCTACAGTAACAGTAAATTGGGATGTGGGGTAAATTGTTCAGTTGTTACTCTTATCCCCAAGAAGGAAAATCATAACTCTCTTATTGATTATCGGCCTATTTGTTTGATAAATTCTCCCTATAAAGTGCTGTCCAAAGTGTTGGCCAATAGACTCAAGCAAGTTCTGCCTAGTGTGATTGATAACGTTCAGTCTGCTTTTGTGGGGGGGGGGGGTGTGGGGGGGGGGGGGAGAAATATTTTGAATGGAGTGCTTATAGCAAACGAGGTGGTGGATTGGTGGAAAAAATCAAAGAGGAAGGGCCTCATTCTCAAATTGGACTTCTAGAAAGCTTATGACACTATTAATTGGAATTGTTTGCTGCAGATGTTATCCAGTTTTGGGTTTGGATCAAGATGGACTCGTTGGATGAAAGAATGTGTGGAATCTGCTCGAATTTCTATTTTGGTCAATGGCTCACCATCTGCTGAATTTTGTCCACAAAAAGGGCTTAGACAGGTGATCCTCTTTAACCTTTTTTTGTTTAATGTTGTTGCTGAAGGGCTGAATATATTGTTGTCAAGAGCTAAGGAGTTGAGGATTATAAAAGGCGTGGTAGTGGGTGGTAGAGAGGTTAATATATCTCATTTACAGTTCGCTGACGACACTATCATTTTTTGTGAGGCTGACTGGTCTGAGATTGTGGCTGTGAAACGCATTCTAAGATGCTTTGAAGTTGTGATAACCCTGTCCTGTGTTATGTTAATCAATCCTATTTATGATTGTGGTTATGTGCTTGATATGATTTTGAATGCCATTTATATGATTATATGTGTTTTTGAATTCTATCTGTTCACCGTAGGAAAATCTATTTGATTTTCTGTTATAAAATTTAATTAAAGCCCGTAGAGGCGACTGAAACTGAAATTAACTGTATTTTTGCGATTAGTATGATTTTTAGAGCTTATGGTGAAATTTAATTAAAAAAAATTGATTCGGATTAAAATAATTAGATTAAATCAATTAAATGTAGTGCAATTGGTTAACACTAATTGAGATGGATTAGTTTAAATTAATCACTTAGTATATATATGGGTTAAACACACTTAGGCTCCTTATTTTGACCTCAAGAATCTAAAAATGCACTCTAGAGGGAGAGAGTGAGCTGAATTAGAGAGAGAGAGAGAGAGCTCAACCTTGGGGATTTGCAAGTGAATTCAAGAAACTAAGAGGATTAGCTCGAGAATTGGCTATATTTGGAAGAATTGAAGCTCCTAGGTGAATAATTGAGCTCAAATTCATGAGTTTAAATTTATAACTAAGTGAATCCAAGCGTGATATGTGTGACTAAGAATAAGAATTGAGTTGAATGTAATGAAATTGGAGTTGTATATATATGCATGTTTGCATTCACCATGATTATGTTCATTTGAGCATGAGACATGAAGAATTGAGTACCAAATCATACATGCAAGCATAGTTTTGTTTAGCTTCATGATTATAAGCATCATTTGTGCCATTTCAAATGGAATTGGAGTCAATAATTAACATGCATGCATTATTCATGAATGTATGAAGCTTGAATGCATAAGTTTCAAAATTGGCAAAGAATTTGGAATGATTTTGGAAAT